AATTGCAGCAGATTGTTGGAAAGAACCTCTTCCATGACCCATTTCATCAATTTAGAGTATAAAATCACACTCTTCTTAAAAGTATACAATTATTGTTTCACACATTAGAAAATTCAGAGTGGTGTTTTTCATGATTACAAAATATTAATTTTATAACCAAGTAGTTAATATTAGGAAAATCAAAAAACATTCTGATACAAGATAAGCTTCTTTTATGATAATCTGGTGTTTACAGGTCAAACATGTTGAACGTAGCAGAATGAAATTAATATGAAGATTGTCATGGAGTGGGTTAGCTTGTTAGGAAGCTGCTCACTAAGGAATGAGAACACATCTATTTTAAATGTATATTTCTTCCTGATGTACTAGGACTCTCAAAATAGTTCTGTGGCCAGCACTTGCTCTGTTTCTTCTCTCTTTTCATCATACTTGTTTTTCCCCCTAAATCTGTGCACAAAAATAACATACACCAAACAGGATAGAGGGAAACAATATTTTCCATTTTAATCCAACCAGGATGATGAAGTTATCCAGAATAAAGAAGCCTTAAATGTTTTAAAGCTATCTTTTATAAGTGACTTTATATAATCCCATCTCTACTAGGACACCAGCATAAAGGAAAATGCACAAGGAATAGAATAAAATGATATTTGAATATTGCTCACATAGGAATGAAAAATAAACTACTGGAGAGAAACTTAAAGAGCTAAAAAAGCATTGTTTATGAAAAAGAATATAACTTAGAGGATACAATACTAAAAGAGCAAATAAAACACTGCATCTTCAGCACTGTGTTAGGTTTCTTCACCCAAACTCTTTTACTTAATCCTAAAAATGGCCATGAAGTGAAGAGTTTAATACCCTACTTACAAATAATGAAATTGGAGCTTTCAAGAAAAAGAATTACTTACCAAGATGGCTGAGTTACTGAAGGACAGAATCTCAAGTCATCACAGGTCTTATAATTCGAAATAGAAGAAGAATATATAGCCTACAGATAAGTTGATGAATACTAATAAAGCTGGTGGGTTCAATTTACTAATCTGGTTTATGTAAAAGTTAGGCAATTAGGGAGATGATTATTCGTAGTCTGGGTGGTAAGAAACAAGGAGATTATTTAAAAGTATTTTTCATCTCTCTTTTTTCTTTAATTGCTTGTGTATTTTGATTTGTTTTGTTTTGTTTTGTTGAGACAGGTTCTTTCTTTGTCACCAAGGCTGGAGTGCAGTAGTGCAATCCCGGCTCACTGCAGCCCGAAACACCCAGGCTCAAGTGACCCTCTCACTTCAGCTTCCTGAGTAGCTGGGATTACAGGTGTGTGCCAGCACACCCGGCTACTTAGTAAATTTAAAAAGAAGAAAAAAGAAAACAAGCAAGAAAATAAAAAGAATTAGAATTGGAAAACAGAAATCATTTTTTTTCTATTGCCTCATTCATTTATTAGTTATTAATTCAACAAATTTATTTTTAGTGATAAGTAAAATGCTGATCATAAAAACAAAGTACAGTCATGTGTTGCTTAACTACAGGAATACGTTCTGAGAAATGTGTTATTTGGTACTTTCATTGTTGTGTGAACAGCATAGAGTGTACTTACACAAATATAGGTAGTATAGCCTACTACACACTTAGGCCATATGGTATATATAGCCTATTACTCCTAGGTAACAAAGCTGTGCAGCTTGTTACTGTCCTGGATAATAGAGGCAACTGTAACACAGCGGCAAGTGTTGGTGTAACAGACATATCTAAACATAGAAAAGGTACAGTAAAAATATGGTCTTGAAGATAAAAATGGTATACTTGTTTAGGGCATTGACTGAATGAAGCGTGCAAGACTTGAAGTTGCTCTGGGTGAGTCAGTGAGTGGTGAGTGAATGTGAAGACCCAGAACATTGCTATACACTACTGTAGACTCTATATACATTTAGAGCAAGCTAAATTTGTAAAAACAATGTTTTCCTTTTTTAAATAATAAATTAACCTTGGCTTACTCTTTTTTATATTAGAATCCTTTTAATTTTTTAAACTTTTTGACTCCTTTGTAGTGACAGTTTACACCACAAACACATTGTACAGCTAACAAAAACATTTTCTTTCTTAATATCTTTATTTATAAACATTTTTCTATTTCTTTTTAAATTTTTAAACTTTTTTGTTAAAAAGTAAGACACAAACACATCTTAACCTAGGCCTTCACAGGGTCAGGGTCATCAATAACACTATCTTTCACCTCCACATCTTGTCCCACTGAAAGTTCTTCAGAGGCAATAACAGGCATGGAGTTGTCCTCGCCTGTGATAATAACTCCTTTTTCTGTAATATCCCTTGAAAAACCTGCCTAAGACTGCTTTGCAATTAACTTTTCTTTTTATAAGAAGTACACTCTAATTATTAAAAGCATAGTATAGTAAATACATAGCCAGTCACATAGTTGTTTGTTATCATTGTCAAGTATTATGTGCTGTACATAACCGTATGTACTATACTTACATGACTAGCAACACAGTAAGTTTGTTTACACCAGCATCACCACAACACATGAATAATGTGTTGCGCCATGACTTTATGATGGATATGTCATTGTGATCGCTATGTTGTTATAAGGTAATAGTGAAGCAGGATATTTCCCCGACCTTTGGGGGCAGTAACTGGAGTGCTTGGGCACCAGCAGGGCAAACTCCAATCAATCACTGCTCCACCCCTCACAGGAGGGGGAACTCAGGAGAGCAGGTGCAGGAGCTGGGACAAACACCTTTGGGAGCCGCCAAGAGCAAACTCCATGCTAGCCTTGTAGCAGCATCTAGAAAAGGGTGCCTGCAACCCCTGAAGCCCCAGAAGAAGTGTTACAGTGCCCTTTTGGTTTACCATCCATGGATGGCTTAAGTGTTAACAGCGTGGTGGAGGGTCAGTGTGACAGCTTTTTGCACCCACGACTTGGCACACAAGTTCTTGTCTGGCATCCAGGAGGAATGAGGTTGGATGAATGAATTGCAGATGGCAAATGTAGGGGATTTTATTGCTGACGAAATTGTCTCTCAGTGGGAAAGAGAGCTGCAAAGTGGATGGAGCAGGAAGGTAATCTTTCCCTGGAGACTGGCCGTCCCTGGCCAAACTGATCTCCAAAACTGTACCATCAAGCTGTCTCTCTGAAGTCAAGCCCCTTCTCTCCAACATCCAAGCATAGTCTCTCATGTCCAGCTGCTTCTCCTCACACTGCCAGCTGAGCCTGGGGTTTTTATGGGCATAGGATTGGATTGCAGAGCAGGCCATGGGTGGTTTTGGCAAAGGTAACATTCAAGCAGGAAAACAAGGATGTCAGTTCCCAATTTGTGCCACCATATCAGGCTTTTCAGCTTAAGGGCGAGGCCATTGCCAGGGACCCACCCTCTTCTACTCAGAAGTTCCGTGCCTCCTGCCCCTATCAATAGAAATTTTTCAGTTCTGTTATAATGTTATGGGACTACCATCACATATGTGGTCCATCATTGACCACACGGTCATTATGTGATGCAGGACTGTATTGTATTGGAGGCAGTAAAAAATCAGGGCTTACGAGTAGAAAAAAAAAAAAAAAAGAGTCAATTATAAATTCAGATAGGACTGTGTAATTTGGCAAAATACTGTCAAAAAGACAAATAAATAAATGAGAAAACAAGTTGGATGGTAGCCAAAGGACATGATCTTGAGGGTTTAGACTTGAGTTCTGCATTCACACTGCCTGAAGAGCCCTCTCTGAAGCCATCACTTCATAAAGAGAAATTCTAGAGGGAGCATAGTAGGTGTGTCCACACACATAGGATCTTAGATCCTGTGCTGTGAAAATTTAGTTTTGTTGGCAGAGAAAGGGAATAAAGGGGTAAACAAATGAATAATGATTTAAGAAAACAAGCATATAATAAAAATAAAGAAATTAATGTCTTACCAAATCTTAAAATACAGAATTCTAGGAATGAGGTAGAAGGGAGGGACCTGCATAGGTGAGTTCAACACAAGGACCTCTTTGAAGGGAGCTCACTTAATCAAAACTATGACAAGAAGGCATCAGCAATGTAAAGAACTTTGGGGAAAGCATTTTGAATAGACACCTCGATACTGTGTGCAAAGGTTTTAGGCAAGAAAATGTTTGGAAGAACATTTGAAGCTGAAAATATTTCCGTGTGACCAAAAGTTAGTAAGACTAGCTGGAGGTGAGATTTGAAAGGTAAGGAGTGTCCCAAATTTCAGACATGTGTCATTGAGAAAACTGAAGGCAATGATCATGTGAACTGTCTAATGTAAAATCAACTGGACATAAAATAAAATACAATATAGGTCTCCTAATTCACTCTCAAGAGCGATTTATCTCTTATATATCATGGCCTCTAACAACGGACTATATAAACTTGAAAATATGTTTAGAAAGAGGAAAAAACATTTAAAGGCTGACCTTTGCCTGCTTATGCTAATAATCAAGTATTCCATGCAAAAGTCATAATTCAATAAAACTATGGCTACAGGATGACTATGGTGTGCCAATTGGCATCTTTACTTCTCCAATAATTTAAATGCTCTAATGTTAGAGCTATCCAGTTTTCTCAGTATCAACGTTTTATAATTCATAAACTTGATGTCTAAAATTTAAAAAGTTTGTCAGTTTTTATATTAGTAACAAAGAACACAAAACCATTACTAACATGTTGTAACTTTTCATCATGCATATGTAATCCAGTTCTAGAAAAAGATCCATGCTTTCTCAGCATTATATTTTAATGAGCTGGCTTACGTGGAAGCTAAAATGCCCTGGGGGATTTTGGATGGAAAATTAAACTCTGTCCACATTTGCAATTCCAGTAACTCTAATCTACTCTCATAGGCTGAGTGAACCTCAGTACACATCAGTTTTCAGGGCCCTGAGGGAAAACAAATCAATAAGAAGGAAAAAATCAATGGAAACAAGTAGTTCACAGAAAGTTGAACAAGTCTTGAGATTCCAAGTACAGTTTGATGGTTGGTTCCCGAACCTTGCTCATTTCCACCAGCTGCTAAGGCTTGAGAAATTTGGGATATGCATCTCATGTACAATTATACTGTTCTCTATTTTAAAAGATGCTGCAACTCACAGTGCTTGTATTTTTGTGTTTATTTCTTGCTAAAGATATCTTCGGATATATAGCATTTCTTACTTTTTAGCAGAACGAGGCGACCTGCATTGATTTGAGATTCTGCCCGTCAGTAACTAAAATTACCTGAGTAAGTAATTTTATTCTCCACTGTTCAATTCCACAATTTATAAAACAGAATATTAGTCTCTTTAATTCACAAATACTTTGAGGATTAAATTAAAAAGCACAGGAAAAGAAATTTAAGATAATTCTTGAGAACTGCAGCTGCTCAGCTATAGGCCTTACAATATTTACTTTATCGCTCAGACGTTTTCTTGTTGGCTTTGTTTATTTTTTCTTTTTAGCTTGATTCAGCTTGATTTGTTGCAACACCAGCCTTAAAATCTCATACCAGACAGACTTTTGATTTTCTGTAATTTTCTGGGTAGCCACATTGTTCCTTGATGCTGCAATGCTTAATTTTTATTTCAAACAACTTATTTCTCAAATAGTTGTAGGAGAAAAAAAATACATACATATATATATGACATGTGATAAGATTAAATAATTGCCATTACAATTATTTTTTTATTTTATTAAAATAAATTAGTGCCAGATTAAAACAATATCATTCAATTTCATACAATTAATAGTCTTCAGATAAGAGAGATTTAAAAAAGCATTTAAATTACTTTAAATGTAAAATGTCTTCCACTGGAAACAGTTTTTTTGTATCTTTAACATTGTATAGCATAAAACATTCCTTTGAATGTACAATTAAAAGCTAGATGTTCAATGTAAATAATCAGATACAGGAAAATGAGTATCTTGCTGTGGTTTAAATTGCTATCATTTTGATTACTGGTGATGAAGAAGATACTTTCATATGTTTTATAATTTGCATTTCTTTCTCTTCAAATGTATATTCATATGCTTTGCTCAATTTTTCTATTTGGATGTTTTTCATTTTGCTGATTTACGAGACAATTTCTATGAAAGATAGCCTACACAGGCAAGGATGAAAATAAAAACAAAAATAATTAGTAATCTTACAACCCAATGACTACCATCTTGGTAGTTTCCTTGAGATGTGCACTTTTATAATTCTAGGGTTATTTTTTAACACAATATATTATAAGAATTTTTTGTATTATTTTTCAAATCATAATTTTATCTTGCATACATAATAAGAAATATAGTTCTCATTATAACAGGCACTGTTCTAAAAATATGTTGTAAAAATTGTCAACTCATTGATTACTATGTTTTATTTATTTTTTATTTTTTCCTTCAAGTTTTTCTGAGTATATTGTTTGTTTTAAATGTCATGTAGTCAATCATATGTATATATTTTTTGTAGTTTCATCTTTTGGACTCTTGCTTGGGGTGCATTATCACTTCATGTTTATACAAAAGTTCAAAGTTCATTTACATTTACTATTTAAATGAGAAATAATACTTAATTTTTCGGTGATTTTTCTTGAGTGGGGAGTGACTGAATCTATGAGAATCTGTAGGAGTTACTGATCAGAAAAATGAGCATACTACATGAACATAGAAGTTTGCATACAATTTCAAAAGATTTGTAAACCTTCCAAAGTCCACTCATAAACAACCTACAGATCCATGAAACCTAGCACAAAAAAGCATGTTACAGATTTTTTTTAAAGTAATAAATCAAGATTGAAATAGTTATTAATCCAGGGGTTTATAGGCTATCTTAATATTTTTGTTGTGTCTTGTTCTCATAATTTGCAATATGTGAAAAGGATATGCAGTATTTTACATATAGTGTATGATATTGTGAAGAGAGAACCAAATACAGTAGAATGGGTAGAAGCTGGAAACCTGAGTCTTATCCTAATTATATCACTAGTTCAGTGAACTCAGAAAAGTCCTTTAATTTTCCTTAGTATCCAAATCTGAATCTGTAAAATTTTTTATGTATGTGGGTATCTATTATATGTGTGCTATATATGTGACTGCATCTGGTTGAAAGGTTGAAGAGAAGAATTAACAATTCCTAAGTTCTTTTAAATTTCTTATATAAAACCAAAGTTATGCTATTTTATAAAACCTTGCTTTCATTATTGTTTTATTAAGATTAATTGTTCATACAATCCAAAGCATAAAATTCTATGAACTTTGATTAAAATATACAGATATGTACCAGTGAAATCAACAGTTAAATTGAAAATATTTCCATCACCCAGAAAGTTCTCTCCTGACCTCTTTCACTCACAGGCAACCATTGATCAGATTTTTATCAGAAATCAGTTTTACCTGTTTCAAACTTTATGTAAATTTAGTCAAAGAGTATGTATTCTGTAGCTTGTCTTTGTTTCTCTCACATAAATTACATAATGTTTTTGAAATTGATGCAAGTTGCATGAATCAGTAGTTCCTTTTTTACTTTTAATTGGCATGCAATATTTCATTGTATAAATATACCACAGTGTTTTTTAAATTCATTTTCTTACTGATAGACATTTAGGTTGTTTCTAGTTTGGAACCATGATGAATAAAACAGCTAAACCACATACAAGTCTATCTGTGGACATAAGTTTTTATTGCTTTTGGGTAGATACCTAAGTGTGAAATTACTGAGTCACAGAATAGATTCATATATAACTCTATGAGAATCTGCCAAATCATTTTTCAAAGTGGTTGTATAACTTTCCACTCTCATCAACTACGTGCTAGATAGAGGTCCAGTTACTTCTTGCTCTTGCCAACGTTTGATATTCTGAGCTCTTGGAATTTTAGCCATCACCATGAAGTAATAACTTAGAATTACCAGGTACATAAAACAATTGGTCTACCAATTCATTAAATATATATATTATATATACTCAAGTTATTTTTTTTATTTAATTTCTCTTGAAAATGATTTGGCGTTATGAGTGTATCTCTGTTAATTTTATTATTATTGATAATATTTATTTTGTGTTTTTAAGATATTTTCATAGAGACAGTATTAAAGTTTTATTTGCTAGGATAAAATACTGTGTTATGTACCTGGTATTCTATGATCTTGCTAATTCCACTTACTGGTTTTAGAATCTTCTATACATTTCTTAGGATTTTTTATATACACAATCACATAATTGCAAATAATTACATTTTCTTTTTTATGCGATTCTTTTCTTTTTCTTTTATTTTTATTCTGGCTTATTACTAAGAACTCCAGAACATCATTAAATATAAGTGATGAGAACAAACATTTTTTTAATCTTGGTTCCCATATTGGAGGGAAAGTATTTACTATTTCAGTGTTGAATATGATGTAATTTTTGCATATGTCCTTTGTCAGGAGTAGAGGAAATCCCTTTCGTTTTTATTTTGCTGAAATGTATATCATTAATTGATACGGTATACTGAATTTAATGCCTCTATTGGGATATTTAAAATGTTTTCCCTTTATTCTGTGAATATATTTAATTGCATTGAATGTTTTCTAGTGATTAACTTTGAATTGCTGACATAGATCATACTTGAACATGGTATATTTTCTATTCATTGTGGGAATTAATTTGTATATTTTTGTTGAGTATTTTTGCCTTTATGTGCCTCTATTTTATTTTAGTAATGTTTTTGTCAAATTTTTTACATCAGGATTGTGGTATCAGTGTCATGATATGAAGGTTATGGTAGTTTCATAAAATATGTTGGGAAATATTCCCTTCTCCACTGTATTTTGAAAGAGTTATGTAACTCTGGCACTATCTCATCATTAAATGTTTAATAGAAATTTATGATTTAAACCATCTGGGGAAATTTTTTAATTATTAATTCAATACAGGACTACTCCGACTTTCTGTTTCTTCTTTTTATAGTATTAAATGGTGGTTTTTAAAGGAACTTTTTTCAATTTCACCTAATTTGTCAAATATATTGGCATAAATAAGTTCATCATATAATATTTTACATAAAGTATGTATTGGTATATCATTGTTTACTGTTTATAGTATATGTCTATGATAGTTTATCACATTCTACTCAATCTTTTACTTCTTTATGTAGAACATAAAAAATTTACAATAGTAAAATTCTATTTTCCAACTCTCAGATCCTTGTATATTTTTAAAAATGTTTTATATCTGTATATGTTATAAACTCAACACTGGAATGTTATTTTTTATTCAAATAGTAGTTTGTGTTTTAAAGAAATTAAAACAAGCACCTGTAATCTCAGCACTTTGGGAGGCTGAAGCAGGCAGATCACAAGGTCGGGAGTTTGAGACCAGCCTGGATAATATGGTGAAACCCACCTCTACTAAAAATACAAAATTAGCCGGGCATGGTGATGGGCGCCTGTAGTCCCTGCTACTTGGGAGGCTGAGGCAGGAGAATTGCTTGAACCCGGGAGGTGGAGGTTGCAGTGAGCCGAGATTACGCCACTGCACTCCAGCCTGGGCAACAGAGCGAGACTCCATCTCAAAAAATAAAAATAAAAATAAAAAAATTAAAAATTAAAAGAAGAAACAAATGGTCTTATGTATTTATCCTTATAAGTATCAATTCTGGTGTTCTTCATTCCTTCCTACAGATATCATATCATTTTTTTTTTTTAGCCCTCGAATATTCCTTTAGCCATTTTTTTTTAACAGTGCATGTCCCACACACACATTTTCTCAGCTTTCATTTATCTGTAAATATATTTGTCTTGCCTTTTCAAAATATATTTTTACTGGATTTACACACCTGAATTGACAGTGTTTCGTTTTTCTTTTACCACTTTTAAAGGTGTTCTTTCATTGTCTTTTGCCTTCCATTGTTTCTGATTTTTTAATCAGTTTTTGATAGTGTATTTGGTTACATTTGAAATATGTCTTTCCTAAACATATAAATTAGATTGACAGTTGAATTAGCATTTCATTGGTGCAGTAATGAATTCACATAAACTTAGTTGCTTTGGGCAATGCAAATTTATTATCTTAGAAGTTGATAGCTCAGAAGTCTGACTCAGGCTACACTGGATAAAAATAAAGGTTAGCCAGGCTGTACTCCCTTCTAGAGACACTAAGGATAATCTGCTTTCTTGTCATCCTCATTTCTAAAGCACACCTGCATTCCTTAACTTATGGTGCATTCCTCCACCTCCAAACCCAGAAATAACAGATGAAGTCCTTTTTAAGTCATGTCATT